TTTTTTTGAAAAATTTGGAAGAGAAAACACTTTATCAAAGTTATGAAAAATTTAGAAATATTATATTATTTACTGATTATATCAAATTTAATCATCAAATTGTTTATTGCTATATATATTTTGTTTTGAATATTTATTATTCAATTTCATCTTCTAAAATTTAATTTTTATATTAACTTTAGCTCTAAAATTTAATTTTTATATTAACTTTAACTCTCGTTTTTATAATTGTTATTTATTTTTATCTTATTAATTTTTTATTAAAATTTTTTATCTATCAAATTTGATCCTCATTCTTTTGATTGTTACTTATTTTATTTGAAATAATTTATAAAATTATATATTTTTTTAATTTTATTCTTATTCAACTTTTTAATTTGGAAGAATTATTTCTCATTATTTTAATAAATTTGAGAAAAATAAAATATTAATAAGTTATTTTCCAGCTTATTTTCCATGATATAATCAAATACTGGAAAGTATTTTCTAATTTATATTTTATTATACTATTAAATATCAAAAAATAATTTATTTTTTCAGAATTTATTTTCTTAAAATTTACTTAAAAAACTATTCTTCAGCCAATAAAGGATTTTAGAAAAATCTAGTATGGTTTTTTTTTTTTTTTAATTTCCTTACAGCGCGAACGCCATCTAAATATTACACGGCAAGGATATTTGAGAAGATTGAAAAGATCTGAGCTATTTATAGCCTTTAGATACGAGATCTGTAAGGATTACACAATCAGCTTTTGGTCATTAACTTTCTTACCCGGAGTTGACATTAAACTCTATTTTGAAATGAGAGTGTTTATCGGACCAAAAAATGGAATCCTAGCAATGATTTTAATTTCTCATGCAGTTCTGGCAGTGTTTATCAGTAGTCCCCTTCACTTGCACTTGAAATGGAACTGTACAAAGTATTGAGGAAAGGGGCAACCTTGCCCTGTGTAGCATGAGCGCATTAAACAAAGAAAAAGAATCAGAGGTCCGCAAATGGCCCTTTGCACTCCCGTCAGGAGCAACGGCGAGGCATCACAAATTAAGTAGGAATCTAGTAGCGAATGAAGGAATCCACAAAGATCTACATCAATGGCTACGTCTATAATTAAGCCAAGTCTTTATCAACCATGGAATGCCATGCGTAACATCCACATCACATCCAGAGCTAATCTGAATGCAAAATCCTAACCATGTTGATAGGAAACCACATGACAGTAATCTAACCAGCATAATAGAAACTTTTTTTAATACATTATACCGGATGTGGATGACTTCTCTAAAATCTCAAGTCGTGTGTTTACTATTTAATATTGCGATAGTTTTTTGCAGTCACGGTTTGAAAAAATAGATTTTAAAAAAAAAACAACAAATAGAACTCATGTGAAACTATAGTGTGCAAATTGTGTGGGGCAAAACACAGTTTTCACCATACCTCACTACACTACCAACCATACATTTAGTCTTATATCATGAACACAGACTACTGCATGAAACTAGACTCAAGGATACCATGACCATCATGAAAAGGAAAGAGAAAGAAAAGGATTCCACTAACTCCAAAAGGTTTGATCTCATTCCAGCATCTTAGATACCACTATAACAAAATATTTCAGTTGAGAAAGGCATTACCGATCTATAAACAATTTAAAGAAAGCATCCCTTCTTTATTACATCATGGTATCATTAATCTGTAAATTATTCAAAGGAAGCAACCTTTTCTAATCTGATTAATAATAGAGGAATAAGTGAGGTGATTAGCAGAACATTAAGACCCCACCAATAATAACCAGTCACATCTTGAGATGAAGGAACAAATTAAATTGTTTCACTCTCGGTTGGTGTTTCTTACACCCTTCGTATACTCCAAAATGGACCATACAATTTGTCAAGACTCAATTCCATCACTGTATTAGATTCCCACAACCATAAGCGTATTGGATACTCCAAAATTTCAAGTTGAGAGCATAGACCATGAACATAAATAAGGATCTCCAGTGATGTATGAGCTCTGAAAAAGATTCATGTGAAAGGTGATGTAGTGAACATCATTCATTGGCCGATAAAAAACAACAATTTACCTGCAGGATGCATCCCAAAGTTCATTTCAACTGGTAGCATCGGTTAACTATTTACCTGAAGAACCTCAACATAAACTGTGGAAAGGTGCAGCATCAAAAATATATTTAAATGCTTAAATATCATGTTCTCTAAGTCCCGACCAATCTCCATTAGCATCCAGCTCCCTTTCATTAACTCATTCTCCACGTTTACCAGAACCAGCACTCCACTCTGCACATGCTGAGGTTTTGTATTCGCAGAAGCTGTCTTCATATTTGTGCTGAAACAATGCTACTTAATTATGTAAGAAGCAATTCATCTCTAGAAACAGGATTCTTCAAAAACCACATTACAAATTTTTTTCCAAAACTGATTGCGAAGTTCTCTAATTTCACATGCCTTTGCAAGGTATTACCATCTAGAGAGTGAGATGTCATGTCTTTGCTCTTTTTTTAATATCCTCTATCAACTGATTTGCACTTGATTCAGGATTCTGAGATGAACTTCTGTGCTTAACAAGTTCTCTAGGATCATTACAAGTCTTTAGTATTTCAGACATTACTCCTGCCTTCTGCAATATAGATTTCCTCCTTGCACGTCGTGATGCATCTCTATCAACATTATATGTATTTGGCAAGTTTTTTGAATGTGAAACAGAAGACATCAGATTACACAGTCTCTGTGCCAGCCCAGTCATCCCCTGTTTCCTGAACTCATCATTCAATCTATGGAAAGTAAGGTATTGAGGAACTATACCTCTCCGTAACATGTCCTCAAATTCTGCAAATGCCTCTTCAAATCTCTGCATTTTACAAAGCAAATGAGTAAACATGGTGCTAGTGGCTAAGTCCATATCACACCCCCTAGCTCTCATTTCCTTGCTAATCTGAACAGCCAAGTCCAATCTCTCCTCCTCGCACAACATCTTCAACAAAAGATGGTAAGTGAGTCGATCAGGGGGGTACCCAGATTCAATCATCTTGGTATATAGGTTCATCCCCTCTTCAATTTTCCTACACTTTGAAAAATGCCGAAAGAAATAATTATAAGTTGTAGGGGTTGGGAAGACTTCCCTGCTAATCATCATCTTAAGGATCCTGCTAGCCCCAACAAGGTCTCCAGCCTTACAGTAACCCTTTACCAAAGAATTGTAGGTGGAGATAGTGGGGCCTTCCTCACACAGAAAAAAGTGCTCCATCATCCCCAAGACCTCCTTAAACCTACCGGCTTCTGCTAATGCATCAATAACGGGATTATATACAATGGCATTTGATTTAATCCCTTCCCTTTTCATTTCATCAACCAATTCAATAGCCCTCTCAACACGACGCATACGACAGTACCCTTCTACCAGTGTACCATATGTTACAACACTCGGTTTTACATTCTTCTTCTTCATTTCCAGCCAAAGCCTCTCTGCATGCTTGAGCTTTCTTGATCTAAACCATCCATTTAACATTATATTATATATCCGAACTGATGGAACCCAGCATGGGTCCTTTTCCACTTTCCTATCAAAATAGTTTGTAGCCACCCTAACATGCCCCTCCTTACAAAGTGAATCCAACAAAATTTCAAACAAGCTCATTCCAGCTTCAGAATTATGAATCAAATCTAAACTGCTCGCGTATTCAAATGTTCTAACTGCAGCTTCAGACATTCCTGCACCAATGCAGAACCATTTGGTGAACACAAATCCAACAGCAATAAGATGATAAAACTGCAAATCAAAACCAGCCACAAAACCTTACAATAATGAGATCTCCCTTGCACTAATTCAAATTCCATGCAAAACTCAAACATTCCAATTCCAACAACATTTATAAGTCAACCAAAAGGGAAAGCTTGGACCAACTACAAACACACAAAGATTGTAATTGGTAACTATACAATCAAATAACAATCTCAGATTTAAAAACCAAACAAGAAGCTGGCTCCACATCACAATTTGACATTCGAAGTCCATAGCACACACGTTTCAAGCAATTTCTAATGATCAAATCAAAACCAAGCTCAAATTTTTAATTCAAAAGACACAAATCTAACACTATAAACCCTTTAATATTCAATGGCAATTACCTATGAGAGTGTACCTAATCGAGCACTGTAACGGCGAGTACAAAACCAAGCAAATTTCTTTCAGTTCAACACAGCACAACAAGTTCCAAACTATTATTCAAAAAAACACAACTCAATGTCGCAACAACCCAAAATTCCATATTACCTGCTCTAGCATACCTTCTGATCAAAATCGCAAAAGTGTCACTAGAAACCAAATTCCCTCCTTCATTTCCACCAATCTTATCAAGCAATAAACACCAAGCAGAACCAAATTCTCTTGCTTTACCAAGAAGATTCACCATTGAATTAAACAATGCCGCAGAGGATTGAAACCCAGGTTTCTTCTCTGCCCACAGAAATACGCTGTGCAGCAACTTTGGTGATGAATCAAAATGGTCAAATACTGCCTGTAGAAGACCCAGTTCCGGTTCAATTCCGGTCCGGTCCAAAGCGGTTTGGAGGGATGGACCGAGCTGGATTTTGGGGTCTTTGAGGATGTTGCAGAGGGTAAAGAAATCATTTTGATGGTAATTAGGGTTTGAGTTTGAAGTTGGAGAGGAGTTTTGCTGGTCTGCTGATGGGGATGGGGCCGAGTTGGGGTTGTGGGGCCACTTGATTAGAGGGTTTCCTTGTACTGACAGCCACGATTCCGCGGAGGACACGGCGGAGAAGTGGCGGTTATGCGGCGGTTTTCTGGTTGTTAAAAATACATAAAGTAGAGTTGTGTTTTTGTGGAGGTTAATGAGAGACGACTTCATTTGTTAGCTAGTGACCTAACAACTGGTTGTCTTTCAGGTGGCAAGATATAGATCACAAGATTAATAGTTTTTAATTACGAAACTACCCTCCAAAGAAAGATTGAGAAAGTTCTGTGCTTGGTTAAAATGGTGAGGAGAAGAGTCAGAGAACAAGAAAATTTCAAGGGAAGAAGACAGTAGTGAAAGAGAGAAATGGCCACCATTAATTTTGGTGGGATATCACTCATGATGCCAGAGTTATCTCATGCTAATGGAAAAGGGTATGGGAATTGTGTTAGTGTCAAGGTTGTGCCAAGAAAGAGACTTGTTTCTGTCTCTGCTTCTGCTTCTGCTAAATCAATGGAGTCTTCAGGGAGTGTTACTGATCAAAAGCCTGAAATTGAGCTCGAGTTTATTGGGGTACGACTATCAGTGCTTGAGAACTCCTAGCATTGATAGTCTTTAAATGTTTAGCAATTATCCTTTGGTGTTGATATTTGCTGTATTGCAGCCGAAGCCGGAAGCTGATGGGAAGTATCCGGTGGAGAGAGCGAAAGCGATTAGTGGAGAGAAGTTGTTGAGGAACATCATGTCGGATAACAAGATTGAGCTCTACGCTACCTATGTAATTTTGTGATTTTCAACCTCTTAGAATCATTACAGGCATGCATTCTATGGTTTCAATAAATTTGACAGTGCATATCATCATATCATATATATTTAAGCTTTAACCACTAAATTAGGTATATGAATTGGCATCTATACATTTTATTTTCTCTTCCAAATTGTGTTTCAAGTAGTTATGGTTAAATTTTAGCTCTTAATTTGGTGCATGTAATTGTTATTTTGAGATTCCAACAGGGGAAAGTGATGAACTGTGGAGGTGGTGGAAGCTGTGGAACTTGCATTGTGGAGGTATTCTTTTTTAACAATTATCTCGCAGCTTGTATCAATCTCTTCATTAAGTCAATAATTGCAAACATCTGGTAACAATACCATTGCCAAGTACTTCAATTCTGGAATGATGGTATCTGGATTGTTGTGCATGCAGTTCCTTTGTTGACCAAACCATTTGAGACTAAAACTTTCTGCTTCGACCTAGATTTTCTATGTTGCCTTCTGAAATCCTTGTTCATCACTGGAACTTGAATTGTTGCTTGTTTTTATTCATGTCCCTCAACTTGTGTGCATCCTCCATTGTCCTTTCTCATGCAGATTCTTGATGGAAACGATCTTTTGAATGAAAGAACAAATACCGAACTCCGGTATCTGAAGAAGGTACTCCCTCTCTGTCCCCCTCTGATGCACCGATGAAATTAAAACCTTGCACTTTGTGAACTGTCATGCTGTCTAACCTGCTTGATATGAATGCGATGCCCTCACCAACTCCTTCCTTCAAGAGCTGCGCTTTCATTTACCGTTCTTATCAGTATAAAATTGTTATCTTCATCTTCCCATTTTTCCTTTTTTTGGTGGCAATATACTTCTTGTAGAGTTTCATCTCTTGACTCTCTGATTGTGCAGAATCCTGAATCCTGGAGGCTCGCTTGTCAAACAATTGTTGGAAACAAAGAAAACTCTGGCTAGGTAATGACATTTATCAGATATGACTCCTCCTGACATTGGAGTTCCCAAAACACCTATCTTATTAAAAAATTTAGCACATGATGGTCTGAGAGCTACAGAAAGAACAATTTAAAGACGGTGCCTTCTACAATGCCTTGCAAGGGCTGTGTAATTATAATGCCTTTCTCGCTTTTTTGTGATCCAAAACTTTCTATGATGTTGCAATAATATTCTGTCAGTTTTTAGAAATTTGTTTTAACTGCATCCACCTTATACAATATTCAGAAATATTGCACTATCATTCTGTGACTATACACAAACCTTCTGTCAATATCTTGGAAAATTCTATGCAAGGCGTTCCTTTTGTGATGGCTTCAAAGGCATTGTAAAATCTCTCGTGTTAAGACGCCGGATTTTTCTTTCAAATGGTATAATAGGTATGTTTGGCCTTGAGGACACCATAGTTTGGTAAGATTCTGAATTTGATAGATTTAATGGAGTACTATTCCTGTGGTTGTATCAGGTTGTGGTTCAGAGGATACCCCAGTGGAAGAAATGATTAGAAGCAAGGCATGGTCAATGACTGAAGCCAAAGAACATTATGATGGCTCAGACAATTCATGGTAATGCAGATGCAGCATCAAAACTTTACTGGTAAATTTTTTGTCAGAAATCTTAGCTTTGCGTGCGTATGATCATGTGGAATGGTGCAAAAGGATCCACGTAGCTGACCCCAACTGGTTTGGGACCCAGGCTTGATTGTTGTTGTTGTAAATCTTAGCATTTCATGCTAAATCACGTTGTCTGCATTCGTCAAACGCTTCTCGTATTCAGTTCATTGCTTTTGCTGTGCACGTCATAGAACTGGCTTCTTCAGCATTCTCTAGTCTCAACTTTTGTACTGGTGTTTTAAAGCTATAGGCCTGTCTTCTGATGGTTATTAGCAGGGTAGGCAGATCTTATAATCAAGCCAAACCCATGAGGAACTGCAATACTGGAGCACTGGGCACATCTTGAAATAACGAACACTCTTCCTTGTCTCGAATTCTGCGTAGTACATTAACGTAGCCGAGAAAATTATAATACTTGAAGTTGACAATCGTTCCAGGTGACTTGTTTAAGGTTGTTCTGTTGATGACAAAAAAACTAGAGGGAAAGACAAGAATTATACGCTCTCTGTCATCCGTTTCTTAGTCTTTTTGAAAATTAGAGTATTACTCCACTACTGAACTCACCCTCATCTATGATTATTAATGCTGAAGACAACAATTAATTTGTGAGATGAGGTTGTAGTGGATGCTCAGGCTTCTCTTAAGTAACTGGTTGGAGAGGTAACTTCTCCATGCAATGTGCACTCAGTTCTTCAAAACCTCCTGTATACTCTTGCAACGTTTCACTTCCGTGCTTCTGACACTGCTCCAAGGGTTCCTCCCAGGTCCAATTCTAAAAATGTGTTCATCATCAACTTTTGAGTTTAGGTGTGTTCATCAAAGATAATATGGGTAGATGAAGTGTTTAAAAATATAGTAGTGATTGCAGGTTAATATGTTTTTTTATTTAAAAATATATTAAAATAATATTTTTTTATTTTTAAAAAATTATTTTTTATATTAGCATATTAAAATAATATAAAACATATAAAAAAATTAAATTTTTAAAAAACATGGTTCTACTGTATTTTTAAACACTCTTATTATTTAAAAAATGGTTTTATGTTGGATTTTGTTATATACAGATAAGATATAATTAATTTACATTACCAAATGTCAAACCCTTATTATTCATCAATATATGTTGTGCCTGCCAAATTATATACAATTGGAAAGACGTGGAAGTAAGAAATTAATATAAACATCAGAGACATTGTCTCTTTTTTCGTAAAAAAATATCAATATTTTTCAAAAACAAAATAATAGTTTGAGAATAGATCAATAATTTATGCAATCTCATTTGCTTTCAACAAAAATAAACAAATTCTAAGATATTAAAATATTTTTTTTAAAAAAAAAGTAGAGAGAGAGAGAGATGTGAAATGAGAGAAGAAGGAAAAGATAAAAATTAAATTTGCTTTCATACCGTCTAATCCAAATTTTATTTTGAATGTACTAGATTGGTAGCCCGCAACGCTGCGTTATGAGCCAAACTATAATATTAGTGTGTGTTTTATACATGTATTCATGTCGTTTAAGATATGCATTGCTCACGTCGAACAAATGTAAGCATATAGAATGTTATACATGCATTGATGGTTGTAAATGTATACATATATTTATATATTTATAATTATCTGGGAGTTGGTATATGCATAGTAGATAATTTGTGATATGATAGAAATACAAAATATAAATAATTTGACATCAAAGTAAAATTGACTAGTAGCGTATTAATATATTTTAAAAAAATTAATTTTTTTATTTTAAATTAATTTTTATATTTTTATATTGTTTTAATGTGCTAATATTAAAAATATATTTTAATTTATTTTTAAATAAAAAATAATCACTATAATAATATCAAATATACCCTTATTTAATTCTAGTATTTTAAAATCCATTCCTTTATAGGTCTGATAAAATTGAGGATAAATTTATTTTTTATAAATAAAAAAATATGAGGATAATATTTGATATTAGGATAAATTTTATCATGATAATTTAAAAAATTTAATTATAATTTTTTAAAAATATATATTTGATTAAAATTAATGTAAGATAAATTTTTCACATAGAGAATTAAACAAGTATATTTAAATAAAAAATAGATTATTTTAGTTTTTATAAAATTTAAATTTAAAATGCAACTATATATAAAATAAAAATAAAACATAAAAATGATTTAGTTCATCAAAGTTTTTTTTTTATTTTTAAGGTCGGGAAAAAAAACAGGGAAGGTATGGTTATAATAACAATCTTTCTCTAATAAATCGATATCTCCTTCACTCTACGGTAATGCAATTATGGTCCTAACGGTTCCGCTGCACCTGCAAGAGACCGAACCTTTTACTGTTTTTGCTCTGATCTGTACGGACGGCAGGCCGGTTGGCAAGCCCAGAAACGTAGACGTGTTTGGTAACGTAGTAATAGTTTTCAGAATCGATCCTGTTTAAAATTTAGATTCTGGATTATAACTAGGTTTTGATTAGTTTTTTTGCTAATGTTTTAAATTAAATAATGTTATTTTAGTAAAAAATTAATAAATTATAAATAGATTATAACTAGATTTTTAATCAAGTTTTATAAGGTTAATCTGTAAAATCAACCAAGTTTTTGTTTTGCAACTCTATCGAAGTTCAAGATTAACCTGTTGAGGTGGGCTAGTTTTAAAAATTATAAATAGCATATAGAATGTTATACATGCATTGATGTTTGTAAATGTATACATATATTAAAATAATAGTTTTTATGGTTGTAATTTTATAAAAAATATTTTTAATTAAAATTAATTTAATATTTATATATATTTAATTAAAATTAAGGTTAACCAATAAAAAAAAATAAGCTGCAGCGTGGAGTATTCACTTTGTACATAGAAACGAAACACGGGTAGAAGCAATAATTTCTTTGCTTTTGTTAAACCTTCGGCACAACCTTAAATATGGTGGATTCCACCAAAAGAAAACTCCGTTTTTTAATTTAATCGAATATCAATGTCTATGATATACAATCAATATCATCCACAGCCACAGTGACAAACGGTCACTGGTGTGCCTGATACTATTGAAAATAGCAACCAACATTTTAAAATTATATCCACTGCCCGTTTCCTGGTCCAATATTCTTTTTTATATTCCTCAAAATACTAATATTGAGTTATTGTATCAATCTGGAGTAATTAATTCAATATAAATTATTTTTTATTAAAATAATATATTTTTATTTTTTAATATCAATCTAGTTATATTTGAATTGAGTTTGTTCAGATAAATCAAGTCATTAAAATCACAACAAGGTTAATTACGTTTTATTTATTGTATCGTTTCAGTGTTTTATTAAATTCAATTGGAAACTCAACTAAATCCTGAATTTTTTGGAACAACTATGTTTTTTTCCATGTCTTCGCTGGCTAATTTGACTGAAACGAGTAAGGTTACATCTATGGAGGAAATTTCTGGAGATAGGCTTTCCCTCGGAATAATTAGAATGCGCTATTAGAATCTGAAGATTTTGATTCTGTTTATTTTTATATTTTAAATATGTTTTTGATTCTGTTTATTTTTATATTTTAAATTTTAATTTTAAATTTTTTAATTATTTTTTTAGTTTTTTAAATCATTTTAATGCATTAATGTTAGAAATAATTTTAAAAAAATTAATATATTTTGAAATAAAAAATATTTAAAAAAAAACTATAACTATAATAATAAAAAAAAAAGAGGAAATTTCCCAGTGGTCCCATGTTTTGAATTGGGGACACACTTTTGAACATTTGGGCAGCTAGTGTTTTTTCCTCAAAGCAAACGAGGAATCATTGGGGGGTGGTTTCTCGTATCAAAGGCGACCATACGTTTTTGTTTCTTGAAGGTAAGCCATGAATTCGCGGGGCGGGGCGGGGCGGGGCGGTGTTTGTTTTTATTTTCTTTATTATGTTAGCTGAGCCTTAAAAACAAATAGTTGAAGAATTATTATTAACATCTAGGGTTCTACTTCATGCTTCATATCTTGGTATTTTATTTATCTATCTAGTTCTATATTTTGCACTTAAGCACTTAAGGTCCTAAAAAAATTAAATTAATATTTTTTAAATAATTTACTCATGTTGGTATTAAAAATATTATTTTAATATATTTTTAAATAAAACTTATTTTTAAAAAACAAAATACACTATATAATTAAAGATACAGCAGAATTAATCACTTTTAATTTTTGGATAATCATGCATGTCTGAATTAACTATACACATCTCAATTAATTGTTTAAAATTTTAAAATTAATAATTAAATAAATTTTTAGTAACTATAAATCTCTAATAACTTTAAAATTTATGATATTTGAATTGGTAGTTTATAGAAGTAAATTTAAAAATAACTAATTCTTTAATTGCATTCTTGGTGGGAGTTTGGCATGGGACAATGTGTTTGTTGTCTTGAACTTCAAATTGCCACTATCAACCTTTGACTCTTCAAAGTTGGGTTCGATGATCATGTGAAGATTTAGCTAGCTGCGATTAAAAATTGAGATTCAAACGAGACATTGACTTCTTAAACGACGAGCGTGCCTAGGTGTGTGATTAACTAATATTTTGCCCTAACTTCATGCTCATGTGGACCATTCTAAGCCACACTGTCTAGCTTCAAGACCACTCTTTAGAAAACCTTTCTTCCCTTTCCTTCTCTGGAAAGGGATTTCGTTCCCATTGCCAATTCTCGCTTCCCTTTCTTGCCCACCGCGCTAATAAATACGCAACAAGATCAGTCGGTGTGGAATAAACGACTGGTACGTTGTAATTATTTTTAAAAATATTTTTTATATAAAAATAAATTTTTTTATTTTTAAGATCAGCGTTTTAAAATTATTTAAAATATAATATAAATTAATTTTTAATAAAAAAATTAACCTGTATTTTCAAACGCTCCCAGTATTATGTACTGTGGTTGATATTTTTCTTCGTGTTCTCACTTGGCAGCCACTAAGCTATCCACTGCTACTTTCCCAGCGTATAAAAAATTGCTTCTTCCAGGTGTCGATATCTCAGTGATTTCTTCCTTAACATTTTAAACTTTAGAAGAACCGGTCCCGATCCAACACCTAGGTAAATTGATTCGGTTTAACTATTTTTAATATAGTTTTTTCACCAACTGGATTAGAATTAAATTTTTAATCAATAAGTTATTAGTAAATTGCATCCTTTTACCCATTTCTTTA